ATATATATGTATATATACAAAAAAGGCTTTTGGTTACACTAACAGAGAGGTCCTGTTGGCACTGTTGGAGTACAGTTTTTTATTTACTAAGAGGATGTTGAGGTCGAGTGAAAGCTCTGCCTTACAGACCCCTGTTGTGGTCACTTCCTGTTTTTGATATATTTTACAGCAACGGTTGCATTTGCACAGTTCCTGCACACTTGACAATGTCATCTCTGAAACATGACTCAGCAGCTTCGTAGTTTATTTAATTATTGCATTTTAGCCTTCATATACAGTTCCTACTCTCCCAACAAAGAAAACGTAAAGCAGAAAACCCACATTAAACACAACAGATCAGTTTCACTCAGCACCAGAAGAGACTGAGTCATCGCCTCAGTTGACAAACCAAGCGTCTGCAACAAATGTATAAATAATGCTGACCCCATTATGTTCCAAAGCATCAGGTTAAATCTGCCTGACTGCAGATCTGTGTGAGCCAAGCTTATCGACCATTAGTAGTGTCGACCAGGAAAAAAAAAAGTTTCTTTCTAAAAATAAACCTATCCAACAATTACATTTCAACTCCTCAGCAAACAAACACACACAGCTCTGACGACAGTCTTCATCTCTCATGAGGAAGTCAAAGCAAACAGAGTTGGAGTCAAATTACTGAAAGATGATGCCAAACAGGCCACCATGACCTGCCCTTTCCTCTGATCGCACCTTATTAGGCCTATGACTGTCCAGCAGACCATCCCACACACACACACACACACACACACACAGCAGATGGAAATAATGCATTCTGAAATGATGGCCCTGGATATCTGCCTCAGATTACAGGATCTCACTCTTGGGTTCCAGCAGGATGTTTGCTGCTTTGGACTACATTTAAAAACTAAAGCAGCAGATAAGTAATGAGTCTCCAGGAAACAACAATCCTGCACCACACCCTTGTAAATGTACAGTAGAAAACGCAGACATGAAGGGGACAGCTGGGGAAAATAATAGGACCAGCTCTTAGAAAGCTGAAGCTTCATGTATAAAAATCTCTTTAAACAAAACTAAGGGAAACATAGAAAGTATAAAGATTAATCAGAAATACATTAGAGTAGAAAGCTGTTTAGATCTCATAATGTGGGCCCTTTGACTACTCTTTGTGGTTTTGCCTACATCAGAATGAGGAGGAAATCCTCTCCTCCCACCATTCTTCCTTTCACATGGCGCTGATAAAAACAAGCTTTACATTCCTGCAATATTACTCAGTCTGGTTATCTGCAACCTTCAGTAGTTGAACTGGTTTGCACTGCTGTGGAGAATCTGTTTACCACATGTGAAAACCAAGTGCTGCCAAAAGGAAAAAGTGAATTAATTTATTTGAAATTGGATTTGCTTATAAGGTAGTGTGGTGATTTAGTTAGCATTACAGATAGTTGTTTATTTTTATTGCTCAATCTGTTTTGGGGACGAATGTAATTATGTTTTCCAAATGTCTGACTCAGTCTGTAAAAACTGGTTTATCTTGATAGTTTCCTTTGGTTTAATCACATATAACCACTATTTTCAAATGTTTAGTGACAAAATAATGCTGCACATTTAAACAATAACTTAAAGGAGACTTTTCACACTTTAAAATACTTCTTTTTAAATTTTTAACCATTCAGTTGGGGTCTATGTAAAGTGAAACTGCAATGCTTTGGTCAGAATTCCTCCTTACTGTAACCCTACAAGCCCATCTTTTGCCCCTTTTCTGAGCTGTGTCTCAGATCATTTTGAGGCTGTCTCTTTAAATCCAAGCGAGGCGCTTCACAACTCGCCGCCCCCCAGCTTCCAGACCGGCCATCGTACCTTAACAGAGGGCTTTATTACTATATAGCAGTGCGGAAACCTTTTTATTTACAAATTAATTAAAAGATGTCAACAACAGCAGACTTGTCCATCCAGCCTCACATGTTGGAGCCAGAGTCTGACCCAGAGCCAGAGGAAAATGAAGACCACCAAACTGTAGTCGGTAACCTTATTTGGCAGTTCTGTCGCAAATAATGTGACAAAGTTCAGAAAAGTGAAAACTGAACAGGATGAAAAATATGACTCAAAGAATAAAAACAGCAAAAATGCATTTAACCGCTAAAATATTGAATTTTGAATATGTCCCCTTTAACTCTGACATCAGCTCGTGCTTTATAGCTGCAAGTCAAGCATTTTTGGAAATACTGGGATTTCTTCATGAATTAATTGTAAATTGTGGTGATTTTCATTTTAATTTATATGAGGGCATATAAAAAGGACAAACAAAAAGGAGTAAGTATTTAGTCATGATGGGGGGAAAAATCTTCTCTTGAGTTTAGAAACTTGTAGATCAGAGGTTGTCCAATCCAGGTTTTTAGGTTTTAGATCAGAAATAGTTCTGGTTAAATGTTTTCTCTATTGCTCAACTCAGTGGTTTATTGATGGAACTTGGGTTTGTCTTTTCAAAACCAAAAATAATTTCCTCTTCTTCTAAACTGTTTTGTTGAGCCACCTCATTTTGTTGTACAATTTCAGGACACCATTTTAGTTTTATCATGACATTGATTACTGAGATTCAAATAGACCTTCTTTTCCCAACAAGCATAGGGTCACCCATTAAAAGCCATAAAACAGGTAGCAAATTATAGAGAAAGCTTGCCTTTATGCAAGTCTCTTTGGTAATACTTAAATAATCTGAAACACGTAACATTACATTACTCAGTAGACCTTATATAACAATACAAAACAGAATATTCAGACGGAGTCAGATCACGAGTATTTACAGTACAGAAATTTTTGTCATTCCAAAGTTTTAAGTCGTGTTTTGCTGCTGCATTTTATCCAACAGAAAAGGAAAAATCGAAATGCTGACGACTTATATTCCATCACATACCTGCCCTCGTTGACAATTTTAGGGTCTCCAGTGCATGTGAAGTTTTCAATATATGCCCCCAACGAGCAATTGATGAGTTTCCATTCAGGTTTGCACACATCCAGGAAGTGTGGCCTGAGGCGTCCGATTGTATACTTTGCGATGTCCGTCAGGGACTGGCTCATGGCGGCACCGAAGACAAACGTACCAACGGCTTTGTAAACACAGGCAAGATAGCTGCCGAAAGACGACTTGGACGTGAGACGGCTGTGATAAACTAAAAGGCACTCGCCAACGACCATCTGAAAGGGAAAAAAACGGGATCGAGTTAGATGTTTCTTTCTTAACAGTAAGAAAAAAGGTGAAAAAGAAAAGACAATAACTCCTAATGTCATGCAAATAACTGATCTGATGGAAAATGTTAATCTATTTTTTTACTTGTATTCGTGAATGGTGCATAGCTGTTTTAATAAGCTTTCTGTCAATGAAAAATCAAGTTTTCACACAGAGCACACATTAGATAGTAAAGGTATCATAGCCAACCAGAAAGACTGGACTGGTTAAATTCATGGCTACCCTGGCTCTGTCTAGTCCACCTGTGCATTTTCTTTCTCATTTTGTTTGAGTAAAACTAACTGGATCTCATAAAAGTGAGTTAAGTGAAGTTTGGACAGAGCTAAAACATTTAACAGCATTTATGTTAAACTGTAGAACCCTGCAAGACAAGAAGAATTAACACTTATTCACTTCCTGTTTAGTTTTCAGCACACACAAATTATACAACAGGTAAAATAAGCATTGAACACGTAACCATTTTTCTCAGTAAATATATTACTAGAGGTGCTAATGACGTGAAATTTTCACCAGATGTTGGTAACAACCCAAGTGATCCATACATACAAAGAAATCAAACCATAAATGTCCAAAAATGAAGTTATTTGTAATCATGTGGAATGGCACAGGGAAAAMGTATTGAACACATGAAGAAAGGGAGGTGTAAAAAGGCATGGAAAGCCAAGACACCAGCTGAACTCTCTCAGTAATTAGAAARCAAGCCTGCCCCTTGTCAGTGCAARTTAATATCAGCTGGTTCAGTCCCAAATGATGGCCAGGTATCACACAAGAACCATCTGAGGATGGGTAAAAGTAAAGAGCTCTCTCAAGACCTTCACAACCTTATTGTTGCAAAGCATAATGATGGCATCGGTTACAGAAGAATGTCTAAACTTCTGAAGGTTCCAGTGAGCACTGTTGGGGYCATAATTCAGAAGTGGAAAGAACATTATTTCACCATAAACCGACCACGACCAGGTGCTCCTCACAAGATTTCTGACAGAGGAGTGAAAAGAATTATCAGAAGAGTTGTCCAAGAGCCAAGGACCACTTGTGGAGAGCTTCAGAAAGACCTGGAATTAGCAGGTACGTTTGTTTCAAAGGAAACAATAAGTAATGCACTGAACCACCATGGCCTGTATGCACGCTCACCACGCAAGACTCCACTGCTGAAGAAACAACATGTTGAAGCTCCTTTAAAGTTTGCTGCACAACATTTAAACAAGCCTGTGTAATACTGGGAGAATATAGTCTGGTCAGATGAGACCAACATTGAACTGTTTGGATGCCAGAATACACATCATGTTTGGAGGTCAAATGGCACTGCACATCAGCCCCAAAACACCATGTTTCAGAGAAAGAAACTAAAGCTGCTGGAATGGTCCAGCCAATCACCTGACCTGAATCCAACAGAAAATCTATGGAAAGAACTAAAGATCAGAGTTCATAGAAGAGGTCCACGAAACCTTCAAGATTTGAAGACTGTTTGTGTGGAAGAATGGGCCAAAATCACACCTGAGCAATGCATGCCACTAGTTTCTCCATACAGGAGGCGTCTTGAAGCTGTCATTGACAACAAAGGCTTTTGTACAAAGTATTAGATAAATTTCAGTAAGTGTGTTCAATACTTTTTCCCTGTGCCATTCCACATTATTACAAATAACTTCATTTCTGGACATTTATGGTTTGATTTCTTTGTATGTATGGATCACTTGGGTTGTTACCAACATCTGGTGAAAATTTCATGTCATTAGCACCTCTAGTAATATATTTACTGAGAAAAATGATGACATGTTCAATACTTATTTTACCCGCTGTATATATATATTGGCCTCATGAAGATGTCCACTTAAAATATTAAACATGCATGTTTCAGTTTTAATGTTTTACCTTAAAACCTGCTTCTTAATTGGATGGGTTGCAAGACATATTTTATATTTTACACCACAATTTAACAGATGAATGACGTCTTTTTTTTTTCTTTTTGTTGTGGTATGTGGTTATGAAAGTGTTTTGCAACAGTCTCTGTGGCCCAAAATGCTCAACCTCTAATATATGTGGTTTGAATTACTGATCTTTTATTGACATTTTTAAATAGTTTCAATAGAATTACGAACTATGAAATATGTCTACATTCTTTAATTGTAAAAGGTACTTTGACTTTTGCATTGAATGCTTTTTATATATATAAAAAAAAAACATTTATTTCTGTCCAGCAGCAGGTAAGTTTCCACTGGACTCATGATGACTTTCCCATCTGCTCTTATTCTGCAAACTCATGCAGCTGCACTTTAAGTTAAGTGAGTCTCAAAGTAAAATCTACCACTTCCTAATTCATTATTAGCAGTTTAAGATGCAAACATTTCCTACAGCATGATGTGAGAAAATGAGGGGTTAGTGGTGGCTACAGAACAATGAAACCATGCATATTTAGCAAGAACACAATAAAAAAGAGAACAAAGATGAACATCAAAACGTTAAGAAGATGAGAAGCTGAAAAACAAAAGAGGTACAAAACAAAAATGTTAGAAAATAAAAACAAAACCCACTTACAGTGATTATTGTGACGGGAATCATAACACCTCCTAACAACTGATAGGAAATGGTGTCGTCTTTAAGGGGGTACCTTATGGACTCATCATTACAGAAAAAGCCTCGGCGGAAAGGCCTGTGCTGAAAAGTGAGTATTGCAAATGGGAGTCCAGCTACCAGAGAAGCAAGGACAAAGAAAGAAAGAAAAAAACAAGTTATAAGAGGGGTTAAAGACATCTTCCCATCATGCAACAGTGTGTGCCGTTGCCAAGCTGGAGGCCCGACTAGAGGATCCCACGAAACGATGCAGCACCACCTCCTCAAAAAGATTATTGATGGTTAAAGACAGACAAATGCTGTTATGGAGGAAATGTTAATGAAAAACAAACTGAAAATGTGAAAAACCATAACCAGAAAATCCATCACCATTTCAGCTGCGTCCTGTGCAGCAAGGATCCAGTTTGTCGACAGGCTAAAAACACTTAAATAAGCCCTTTTTTATAAAACTAAAATATAACCGTCTCTGTGTTAAGGAGGTAAATCTACAACTTCCACTTACAGACACCGAACATTGGAGCAAGGTGTTGGAAAAATACCGTAACATTAAATACATTTAATAGAAAGCTTGATACACTGCAGACAGAAGAGTCAAACCAGACGCCACAAAAGTGTCCTTCCAGTTTCCATTATTCCACAGAAATAATGGCTCTGATCCAGATAATCAATCCAGCTATTTTAAGGAACAGAGACAGCTGCCTGCATATCTGCTGCACTGATCAATAACAGCAATGGAAAGTAAAGAAAAGTAAAACTGTTTAGTAATAATAAAAGTCACACTTCTGTTTGAGTTTTCCCTTTTTCAGAACTCAACAAAAGTATTTTAGGAAACTAAACACAGACTTAGAGGAGGGAATAAAGGCAAAACCTGTCAGTTAGATCAGAAAGTTTAGTAAATCCTGCCGTTGTAATGAAGTTAGAAGTTGGATTCAGACTTTTTGTTTAAATGTTTTAAGTGGACATCCTCTTTGGCCGTCACTTTCTGTGCACTATTTAGCTAATGGAATAAATCACATTAGTCTCTGGGTATCTGCTCATTAGTGTGCTGCTCCATCAGGTGCTCAAACGAGGGCTGCACAGTCACAGTGCATGAAAAGATTCTTATCTTTGCAACAAGGCTGCAATAAACCATTACCTAATTATGTTCAAAGTGCAACGCAGTCATGCTCTTTGTGCCAATCTAAGGAATCCTTAGAGTTTAGACAGGAGTGACTGAGTCATGATGATGACAGAAGCAAAAGTGAGGAAAATGTTGTTTTATTACAACGTGCGTCATCATCATGATCTTATGTGTTTGTGCTATAAGCTCTTATAAACGAGACCAAGAAAAAAAATCAACAATATTATGACAGTCGCATCTTTTTCTAATGTTGTGCAGCCCTAACAAACCTTCTTCATGGTGAACATGTTGACTTGCCAAACCAGAAATAGTAGGTGTGGCAGGATAACAACCTGCATCATACCTGAGGAAACGACCCCGGCCAGCACACCTAGGAGCATGTGTGTGTGTTTGTTTGTGTGTGTGTGTTCCACTCGTACTTCAACGTGCTCACCACGAGGAAGCTTGTGAGTGTGTATCTACCCTGGCGTGAAGGACACCACTACTTACGGAGACAATAGGCAGGGTTAAGCCTACACTGTAGAGCACCGTGGAGGTTACTGTGCTGTGGTGGAAAGGGTAGCTGATGGAGTCGTCGTTACAGAAAAAGCCCCTTTGGTAAGGGCGGACCTTACCCAGGTTATAGGCTGCTAGAGGCAAAGCTCCTGTGGAGGGGAGAGATCAGGGCTCGTTATCACAGGAAGAAGTCAAAAGGTTTTTCAAAATAAAAGGCTGTGAAACAGAATTTGTTTTTAGGAGGATAGAAACTTTTGGGATGAAAGGAGGAAAAATAACTTGCCTTACATTAAAAAACAAGATATTCCTCTTCACTGTCTTAGTCAAACAAAAAAGGTAATTTGCAATATAAAAATTAAAACATGCCTTTGTTAAACAAGTTAAGAAAACGTTATCTAGAAACAAACAGCTTGGGGCTTCATTTCTCACTATGATTAATATTTTAAATCTGATTAATCCCAAAGTAGCTGTGAATTAATCATGATTAATCTTAAATTTAATACACATTTCTTTTGCGTATTGATAAAATTAATTACTTGAGTTATTAATTAGTTTTTAAGGTTTTTATTTAGAAAACAAAACTGATGCTTGGACATGATTTTTTTAAATATAAAACAGGACCTAAAAAATGCTCCAAACATATTTGAGTGAGTTAAATTTTGTGCAGAATAATGAGGTTAAATCAAGAATTCAAGGATTTTCATTCCGAGTACTACATGAGGAACGAAAGACAGATACTAAGGTCACAGTTGTCAGCAAAACATAAATAAATAAAATAAAATAAGCCATAAGAAGACAAAAAGAAAAAAAAAACTACATAACGTGTTACACATGGAGTTTTTTTATTGTATTTATTTAACCTTTATTTATCCAGGTAAACTGTTTGAGAACCACTTCTCATTTACAAACATAACCTGGCACTGAGTGCATTGCAATATACAAACCTACATATTCAGCCGTAGTAAAGTGATTGTAAATTTTAATCGTGATTAATCACAATTAAAATATTTAACCTATGCCCATGCAGCACTAAAATGAATCAGAGTTAACTCAATTAATTTCGCAGCCCTATTATTAGCAAACTGTTATTCAGCCAGCAATTTATTGTGGAAAAGACACGTGGCTGACAGTGGCTCAACATTACCAGCAGAACTCAAGTTTGTCGTTTTTTAAAACACACAGACAACAGCTTCACCACAACAGGCTCATTTAATCGTTTGTGAGATTGCCTATAAAACATGTATTCCAAATAAAAAAGCGATGTGCATTACTCAGCTCAGTCAGATACTTCAGCATTGAGACACACAACCAGTGACATAAATGTCACTTTTTAAAGGTTCTGCTCAGAGATCATTGGTGCAAAAAGGACGTTGGCCAAGCACTCCATGCAGATAAAATACTGTAAAGATAAGAGCTCATGCTAACTAGATTAGACCGTGCAAATTCTGCTGTCTTCTCGCTTCGTGTTTTGCTCCATTTAGTCCTTTTGTGTGGTGGAGGAAAGAGTTCGCTCATTCAAGCAGGAAGCCGGAGTCACTTATTGAGCTGTAACGCACATCAAAAAGCCACAGGCTAGAGAACACGTCAAACACCACAAGAAGATACAGCTTCAGACCCAAACTCTTGGTCTCAGCTCTGTTCAGCCCTGCTGAGCTGCAGCTGATGGGTGAAAACAGCTGGACGAAGGCAAAAGGATGCTATTATAAGCAATCATGTTACGCTGTTTTTTTATTTATTTATCTGTGATTTTACAGCCAAAACGTTTCCCAGTCCAACCACACAAAGGCAAAAAAAAGTTGTAAAACTCCTCAGTAAGTACACACATGGCTCATTTGCCTTCAGCTTCACTGGCAGCTACATTAACCAAACCAATTGTTCTGTTTCCTCGTAATTATACTTAAAACATCTTTGTCTGAACTTTGTTTTTAGTCACCCGTTTGGCAGCATGAAAAGATGCATGACAGCTGGTACCATCATCCAGACATGGGACAACTGGTTAGAGCATGGTCATGTACAATCAGATGCACTCGTTCTGCCGAAGACGTTTTCAAAAAATATGAAGTTATCTTTGAACAAAGTGATTTAGCAGAGTGCTTTAAGACTCAGTGTCACATATTTTCACACATAAAGATTTTGGGAAAACATCCCCGGAGACAATAATCCTCTGTGCCTGAAACAGAGACAGCGTGGTCTTGTGAGTGCTTCAGTCTAAATAAAGACATTTTTTTAGGAAGAACAATGAAGTGCTTAGTCATTTTCCAATTCAGACTAAATATTTCACACTGCAAAAAAAAAATGTCCACCTAACCAAGTTTTAAAATCTTATATCCAGCCAAATTTTTTTGATCTTGTTTTGAGACTGATTAACTGATTGTGTAAGAATAATCATCTTGTTTTCAGAATGTGTAAGATTATTTGTCTTGTTAGTCTGAAAATTTGACTCAAATTAAGTCAAACATTTTCTGCCAATGGAGTAAGAACATTTTACTTGGTAAGATTCTTGACAAAAGAAAGAAAGTTGAGTCAAATCAAGTATTTCAAGAATCTTACCATGTAAAATTTTCTTACTCCATTGGCAGAAGTGTTTGACTTAATTTGAGTTAAATTTTCAGACTAACAAGACAAATAATCTTACACATTCTGAAAACAAGATTATTATTCTTACACAGTAAGTTGTTCAGTAAATCAGTCTCAAAACAAGATCAAAAAGACTTTTTTGGCTGGATATATGATTTTAAAACTTGGTAAGATGGACAGTTTTTGCAGTGTAATGTCTAGTTTTAGATTATTTTTGGTTTAATGTAAAAATCAAGCTTCAGATCAATGTGGACTTTGAGCCCTGATAAGATGATCTTGTGGTTTTATGTGAGCAGTCCAAAGAGATGTATATTACATCACCACATTATTTAATGACAGGAAACTCATTCTGCTCATATGAGTAACAGCTTCATGGTTCTCCTCAAATTCCCCTGAGTGATAATGAGTCAGTCTGTAGAAACATGGGACTATAAAACACATCTATGCAATACAAATACTCTTATAAAAACTTAAAATACTGTATATTCTTTGCACATCATAAAATGCTCCCTAAGCTGTATGAACTATTAAATCGTTGAAATGTCTCTTTAACAATAAGGGGTGGAAAAGAGAGAAAAGAAAACAGGCTGAAACATTTTATCCTGGCTCAACATTCACGTGATGGCAGCTAGAATGTCCAAACAGGAGGATTAAACGGATCAGATCCGTGCGCAGCTCACAGCAAAGCCGTTCAAACACATACCTAGAAACAGGCAGACTACATCGAGAGCGACGAAGGCGACTCCTTTGGTGTCGAACATGTTCACTCCTCGCTGTCTGTCGACGCAGAGTCTCTGTCCGTCCGCCTGAGCGCTGCCGGGTCCTCCTGCGCTTCAATATAAACCCAGAGACGCTCCTCCTCGAAGCGCGTTTTTACTGCCTCGGCTGGTGGTTCACAACAGACCGCAGCGGCAAAAAAAATGTTTCAGTCGGAAAGCACAGTGAACACGGACGACTTCGTAGGAGATGATACAAAAAAATAAAAAATAAAGCCCACCCGAGCTACACGAGAGGCGTTAACTCGCTGCAGTTGTTGGGAGGTGCTGGACTGCAACACTTGGCCTGAGCGTCATGGTGAACTGGCAGCTGTCCAGTTAACTAACACAGACCACGGAGGGGACAGACATTTGGACTGACACCTGTCCTGTCGTCGATAGGCGCCGGTGAAACACGAGCCCGAAGCGATGTCATTACGTCACAGCGGCTGCCCCATGTGCTGCGTTCAAGCGTCACTGGAAACATCGTAAATAAGAAACTTTCGTGGTGCGTTCACGGATTGTCGGCATGGTGGGGGAAACACGTGTTGCCCTTCGGTTTTACGTTTTGGTTGAACATTAAAAAATATATAGTTTGATAAGCAGTGGTCTTAAAATAAACTTTACACCAGAATATACTTTATGTTAGTTAGTTAGTTAGTTAGTTAGTTAGTTAGTTAGTTAGTTAGTTAGTTAGTTAGTTAGTT